AAGTAACGTCACTTCCAGGACACAGAGATTTTTCCCCTAGTTATGTGGTTCATAAAAATGGCTACATGGTCTAGAGTTAAATATTCTAGAAGTGATAACTTTTGACCAAACTGGCTAGTAAAAGAAAAAGATGGGCCTGGAGGGACCCTGCTTTGTTCTTCAATCCTGGTTACACAGTTCAACCTCTCCATACTTTGGGGCCTAGGGAGAGTCCAGAAATTGGAACAGAGAAAAGGAAAGGTAGGTACCTACTTCCTGCCCCACAGAGGGAGAGTGGAAGACATGCTGTAAGGGTCCGGCAAACGTCGGAGGAAGAGACCACCAAGAGACCACGGCTCATGCAAAAGCAAAAGGGGTTTATTGAGGATCCAATCCAGCGCGCTGGGGCTCCGTGCTCACTCAAGAAGGGAGAGCAGCCCAGAGCCCCGAGCAGGGGCTGAGCACTGCTTAAGTACACTTTTGGGGGAGGGCGGGGACTTTACATACATCACAGTCTCCTTTAACAAATCATCATACACCGTGGGAAAATCAAACAACAACTCCTAAACATGATTAGTTCATTCATTGGCGGGAACAGGTCGGGCGGGAGTGATAGGTCAGTTCTAAGGGGGGAGGTACATTCAAACTGATTGGTTTAGGCCCTGCGATGTCTACGTGCAAAGTCACACAGGGTCCTAGGTTATCAAACAACCAGGCGATCAGGGGAAATATTTACTGGGCGGTTCCAAGTATTGTCTTAACAGCTACAGGAATTTTAGGTTTTGCGTGTAGCCTAGGAACTTAACAATACCTGGTCCTTTACATTTTAACTCAGGCCTTGCAGCTTAGAAACTTTACAATGCCCGGTCTTTTACACTTTAACTTCAATTTCTTTTACCCTTACATTGCATCCCAGGAACGTGAGTTTTGTGTCAATCCACGAGGGCAACACCAGTTAGGAGACAGTTTTGGGATAGGAAACACACCCAGAATTAGCAGCGAAGGGTCACTGGGGAGAACTGTGGAAGTAGAAAACTCAGACCTCTGCCCTAAAGCTGGAGTAGTGGATGGAGAGGTGAGTTCAGTAGATAACTTACAATTCCATTTCTGGAAGACTGTGTATCAGGCCATCTTCTGTTACTATAAGGAAATACTGAGGCTGGATGATGTAGAAGGAAAAGAGATTATTTAGCTCAGTTTTGGAGGATGAAAGACCAGGATCAGGAAACCCCATCTGTCTGGTTACTGGTGAGGGCCTCCTTGGCTACATCACCCATGGCAGATGGCATTGGGGTGGAGATCCCATGGCAAAACTAGAAGCTAGGGACATTCAGGGGTCACATTCACTCTTTCATAGCAATCTACTCTCCTGAGAACCAGCTCACTGTTGGAGGCCAGCATTACTGTCTTCTGAGGGCAGCACTCCCAGTAACCTAACATTTTGCATGGGGTCCCACTTTTTGAAGAGTCCAGCAGCTATCAACATCACCACATTGAGTTTCTCCATCATGAAACGTTGGAGGACACACTCAAACTAAATCCACACCATTCATTCACTTAGTTCCAGATGTGAACTGCCATCTAAATAGAGCCCAATCAGCCCACATACAGTGAGGATATGGCTTCTGTCCCAGCACAGATGACCAAGGATCCGGCAGTGGCTTCTTGAGATTTATGGTGATGAACTCTGTTTTCATATTTTCTCCTCTGGAACACTTCAATCACTTGCTCAGTGTGTGTGTGTGTGTGTGTGTGTGTGTGTGTTTTCCATGAGAAGTAGAAGGGCTGAGACTCCATCCAAGGAGAAATTGAGTTTCCCTAGGTAACTGTGAATTCTTTCTGTTCCCTGTTTTGGTCGCCACCCTGACCACCATTATTGACTTTTACTATTCATAAACATTTCCTCAAATATTTTGAAGGATTACTTAAAGCAAAATAGTACTTTTTTGTTCTGTGAATTAAGAGAGAGAGAGAGAGAGAGAGAGAGAGAGAGAGAGAGAGAGCGCATGCACAAGGGGGGAGGGGAAGAAGAAACAAGAGAATGACACCTTCCCCGCTTGATTTATTCTTCAGGCAAACTTTTCATCTCTTCAGTTGAGTTGGTGACAATGGCTTGCTACACTGGAGATCTACAGGAACCACTATAAAGAATTTATGTGCTGGACTCTGTGTTGCACACCCATAATCCCAGTGATTCAGGTGGCTGAGGCAGAGAGATTGCCGAGTTTGAGGGCTTGGCAATTTAGTCTCCTTGTCTCAGAATAAAAAATAAAATAAAATAAAATAAAAAGGGCTGGAGATGTAGCTCAGTGGTAGAGCCCATCCTGGATAAAAAAAAAAAAATGAGAGTTTTACATCTCTTAGGTGCTTCTGCAATCCAGATGGGGTCCAGTACATCCTCCTCACTTGGAAGCAATACATTAGTGGTACAAGTAGGTAATTCTGCTTATTAATTTTAGAAAAGAATCTTAATTTGAATAATTTCTCTATAGAGAAATAATATTCTATTCGGTACTAAGTGGCCATTAACTTATAACAAAGTCATACCAATTTTGTAGAAGAGAGCTATTTGTGTTTGTTGTTTTAAGTGTGAGACCATCTTTTCAACCTCCTTGCCAAGTTTATATGTTAGCTTAAAAAGTCTTTGGTCTATAAACTGGCAGAAATGTACTTTTTTCCTTTTGGTATAATTTGGGATCAGACTCAGCATTCTGCACATGCTAGGCACGTGCTCTGCTATTAAGCACCCCAGGCCAGGAGAGATTTCTTTCTTTTTTTTTTTTTTAATGAAAGAAAAAAAGAAAGAAAGAAAGTATTTCCCTAAGAATTAGATCTGCCAGTGGCAATAATTACAGTTCCTTTGAATTCACTTTGCCTCCCCCAGTCAAGGTGGCTTGTGGCTGAGTGAGCTCTTTCTACTTCTCACTGTACTTCAGCTCTGTTTATGAAGTTTGTGAGTTTATGCAAAATAGCAGCTCTGAAGCAGAGATACCCACCCAGTGGAGGAGCTGCTGTAAATCCGACTTAAACACATAAAACTTAATACACCAGAGATACCACCAGTAGTTTTTAATTATTCACATATGTTCTTTCCTGAACAGTTTGCATTATGTTCCTTTATTCATAAATCAAATGGTCCATTTAAAAGTGATTACATAGAGGAAAAATTATTTCAAGCTTTGTTTACCAGTGTTTTTACTTATGTTAATTCCCAACTCCTATGAATCAAAAGAATTATTTTCAAGTAAACTGTTCAACCCATTAGTAAATGTGATATATCTTTTGTAGAGCTTGGATCCCTCTGAAAGAAATTTCTAGAAATTTATTTCTACTCAGGAACAAAAGCTTAAGTTATTTTAACAGAGTGTGTATGTGTGTGTGTTCATGTGTGCTTTTTACCATAGAAAACATTGCAGTGAATGTTCAAATACACAATGACAGCTTCTATAGACCACTGTCTCCAGAATTTCTGAGGCAACAGAGATGCTGAGTGCCACATGAGCCACAGCTCATCAGCTTCCTGGGACAGGGCTGCAGATCTTTTAGAGAAAACAAGCTCTTGCTTTCACAGTTTTAATCTAGTCTGAAAATCTAAACTACCTGGTTCTATCACATATTGCTGTTATCTTGATAATGCTGAATTACTGACACACTTTTAATTTTATCCCTAAACGGATTCTCCAGAATCTAAAAGGAACTTCAGTGATCTCCATTTCTTATAACAAAATCCACTCAAATCTATGGATGACACAGGGAGGAGGAGGAGCAAATCAGAGTTCTTGTCAAAATGTCTAACCAGAGTGATACCTAGGTGTTAGGATGTCTGAATACGAATCTTAAGGTGAAGAGAAAGATTCACTTTGTTTTACAACTTTCAGCCTTTTTTATATTGTTATATGAGAAGTTTATTTATTTATTTATTTTTTAAAGCACAGATTTGGCAAGTTAAATCCCAGGAAAGGAGGTTGCATCACAGTGGGGGACCCTGGGGAGTTGGCAAGGTCAGACGTGAGGCTTGGGGTGGGGTAAGCAGCAGGTGGGAAAGAGGCTTCCCCTAGGGAAGCCCAGCCTTGGAGTCCAGGAATGCTGGGAATTTTCTCAAGCTTCGTGGCTGCCCTCAGGAAGTGGTTTGACCTTTGTGTGGCTGGTCAGTTTTGGAAATGAAATCCCAGCCTAGTGATTCCCCTCTTGCAAATGACTCTAAATATTTCAGTTCCAGTTTTTGTTTCTACATTCCTTCTATTGAAGAAGCATTGTCTGGTGACCCTCATGAACAAATCTCTTGGCATTTTTGTTTTTAGTTTGTAAGATACAAGCAAATTAGAGATGATAATATCATTACAACTCTCATCATTATTTTCTTTTCTAGAAGCAAGTTTTTAATATTGATCTTAATTCTTCAAAGTCTTGAATGCTTGGAATCCTAAAAATTAATTTGTGGTTTGTCTTGTAAATGATTTTCAAAAATTGTGCACAGTATATTATGCTTGGATACTTTACCATTTTTCCCCCATCATTCATTGTTTAAAAGAAGCAAGATACCCCTAAACAATTCACAGAACACAACAGATCTAAGATTCTTATGCCATTCAATACTGATGTTTTATATGAATTACCCCAAATAAATATCTTTATATGATGTGATTTTCATCACTCAGGGTAGCAACTGTACTGTGTCTCCCAATAATATCCTTATTTTCTACACCTAGGTGAGTTCCTAGTGTTCAATAAGTCATTGTTTAGGGAACTAAGATAAGCAAGAGAAAAACCTTTTAAATGTACAGGTTTTTGTTCATTTAAATGCTATTCAGCTTGGATTTATTTTATTTTTTATCTCTTTGACAACTTCCTTAGGATTTATTCAATGGAACTAAGAAATAAAAAAAAAACATTTTAACATTTAATAATAATAATATTACATTTAATTTTTAAGACTGATATCTTAACATTTAATGTTCATATTCTAACAAACATTACAATCATTGACAAATTTATGATAGGTGAGTACTAATGCACTTAATTTTCATAGAGGTAGTCAGAATAAAATTAACTTTGTTTATATGAAGCAAGTTAGAATTGAAATTCTTGCTGCTACCAGAGTTTCCAATGCTCTGTGAGGACAGCAGCTCATTTGGGGTGCAAGTAGAGCAAGAAAGAGCACACTGAGTGGGGACCAGGTATCATTATCTTTACTTGGTTTCCTGAGATGATTCAGACCTTTCTAGAAGTTTCTTTTCTTCAATTACACATCTCTCTCTCTAGAAGGTTCTTTTCTTTAATTACATGATTTAAAGAAAAATGAGCCCCAGCTCATACGTTCTTAGAGAATCTTGGCAAAACAAATTCACATTCTTGACTCTCAATTCAGCCAGCAACTGTGTAATTCTAAATTCCCATGAGGCATTTGGGTTTTTTTACTTTCTTGGATTCAGCCTATGGTCTAGAAGAGGTGGTTTCTTTATTTGATAAGTTCCCTGGCTAAAGTTTCAAAGAGACTGGCCATTATTCTCAAGGAAATGCTAGCTCTTTATCTTAAGAAAAGCTTTCATACCAAATTTTCAAAGTACTGCTTGCTCCAAAATACTGGAAATGGAAATGTGTGCTGTCAGGAAGGCTCTTCCTCTATTGGTGGAAAAGAATCTATGTGAATCATGAGAGGATCATAGAGATTTTCTATTCCACAGACCCTTCACTTTTCAGATGAGGAAACTTAGAGGTTAACTGAGATAATACTGAGTGCAGGCACTTGGGGTGAGAATGGGGTACTTGGCATTTTAGTGAATGAAATGTGATGCCTCTGACACCCTTGCCTGGCTATAAATTTTAAATCCCTGCTAATGTGGAGAGCCTGTGAGCTTGGCTGAGCGGTCCTGTTCACAAGTGTATCTTTTTACTTGAGGATTAGGAATTGTGTTCTGACTTAGCACAGGTGAGCTTTGATCTTGCCCAAGGTCAACATCAAAAAAGTGGCATCCTTTATAAAGGAGGAACAGGAAAACCCAGTATGAGATTTCACATATGTATTTATTTCCCTGATAAGCTTCACATTTCCAAGAGTTGTAGCCTTCACTTCCCATAATGATTTGATTGAGAGATCTCTCCTCCATGATTTTGTTTTTGGTGATATGGTATAAATAATGATCTGAGCCTTAATCTACCTTAGTCAATGGACACTTGACTCTGGTCTGTATTATCTACTTGCTGTTCAACGAAACTGTTGATTGATTTTTTTCAGAATGAATTTCACAGCAACCTTAAATGAAAGCTACTTAAAGGCAACAGGCTTAGATCTTTCCCATGAATCATTCTAAGCAACATTTCTGAAGCTACTTGAAAACCAAAATTTTGTAAGGTGAGCTACTCAAAAGTAATCATGGCAAGGCATTAATTTATTGTTTTGGCAAAGAAGATATACCACATGTCAGAAGTGCTCTGATACCACAGGATTCCTGAAGTCCTAGGGATTTCTGTATAAAGACCAAACTTCTAGAAATGGTTGTCAGAGACAAAAATCACAGTAATTTGAGTTTTTAGACCTAATTGGATTTTACTTGTGATTTTAGAATTGGGCAAAAACTCTTTCTACAAAGTTAAGGGATGTTCCAATGAACTGAGCAGGGAGTTTGCCTCTACAGGCAGAAAAGGGCTGGAGAAAGCAGAAATGGGGAACAAAAAGCAAATGGGTCATTTCAATGTGACTTCCTTATTGGATTTCTTGTCCTTCTTGCTCAGGTAAACTGGGCCCCTTCTGATTGGTTGCTGTCAACCCCTTGCTTTTGGAAAAATCGTCCTGTTTCAGAGTTCAATTTGATTATGTGGCAGTTAGCAGGAGGGACTCCAGACTGGCTAGATCTGGTCTGCTGGAGCCCCACCGAGGAGACCTCCCATAACTTTAACAGTTTACCTCCCCTTTCTTCATCCCTTTTCTTCTACAGTTTATTGTTTGAAATACCAGATCATGGTTGTCTCCAAGAAGAGATGTCTGTTGGAAATTTCTATTTATTCTGCTTTTAGTAATAATGGACATGTGTGTTTTCAAAAGAAATGAGCAAGAAGGGGCCAGTGTTCCGCAGACCATGTCCTTCAAAGCTCCTGTGTATTTACTTACAGACAATGGACCATGAAGTATGGCTCATACTGCCCTGGGCTGGATTCCATCCTGTCCATAGGATCATACTGCTTGGCCATCAATCCAATACCCAGAGTTTTTTTTTTTTTTCAGATGAAGAAACTGAGGCCCAAAGGTTAAAATGAAATGCCTTTAAGAGAGAAAACTGAAAAGTTTAAAATCACCAGGCAATTCCCAAGGAGGGTGACTTCTTTGTTGTGCTTTTGTTGACACCTCTGTTCTCAAGGTTAATTACATATTTGGTTAATTGGTTTAATTAGTTAATTGGTTTGCTAAGCCTGCCTTCCTGGGGGGAATTCAAATGCAAATTCACACATGGACATACCCTTTCATTGCTCCTGGCTTATAACCAAGAATCACTCTGCTTCATCTTAAGTGTTTGTTTGGGGGAATTGACTATTTCTTCTCTGACGAGATTTCTTTTTTCTTTTTTTTTTTACATTAGGATGCAAGTGGTGCAAATGCCAATTTACTGCCAATTCCAGAAAAGTCTGCTCTTTTGCAGCATGGGAGCAGATGGGAACAGCCAGCCCCTGGATGGGAAGAGATATGGCTGCAGAATTGTTGGTGAACGGTTTAGAGGAGTTCTTCTAGATGGTGTCCTCAATTCCTCCACAGTAAAAACAAGAAAAAGAGATAGAATTCAGTGTGTAATTCTGAATGCCAACATTTCCCAGATAATCCACGAGACTGAATTTGTTCTAGATTGCTGGTGGAATAAGAGGAAGCAGAGAGAAAGTTTCGAACCATAGATGGGTTTAACAAATCTAGACTGTCTAATCATTTCTAGTCCTCTCTATTTTCAATTTACTTCAAATCATATTTTTCACAGATAATTTTATCCATGTTGAACAAGTTATTGGCATATCGTGTTTGGTTCCTGGGGACCGGAGCTTGGAGAAATGCCCCGGGAGCCTTCTCTGGCACCAGCTCTAGTGGAGTGGCGTGACAGGCAGGTTGGCCTTGCCACACATGTTCACTCTCAGGATTCTGAAATATCCAGAAAGAGCATGACTTAGGTCTACAGATCATAACTAGAGAAGGAGCTTGTCCATTGTTGGAATGATGCTGTTTTATCTGGACCGTCTCTAATTGTTGGGTTTCTCATTTCAGTCTGCAGGGCTAACAAGTTTGTAACCTCCTCTAGCAGCCTTGCCCAAGATTCTTTTCTTTCCTCTTAATTAGAGAGCTTTTTGTAATCTTTAATCAAACCTTTCTTTGAACTAACTTAATTGCATCTCATTTTAGCTTCATTGACCAGTGTGGCTAATGTGATCTTCCTTCTCCCATAATATTGCTTTATGCATTTTAAAAGGAATTACAGCTCTTTTCATTTCCATCCTCTCAATTGCTGGAGTATCTCTTTTAAAAAATTGTAATCCTTTTTAAATGACAGAAGCCATGTAACGTTAGGACTGAGTCAGTCTCCAAACTGCTTCTTACAAATCATACTCCAAGTGATATTCTCCTTTAGATTTGAGGTTTGAAAACCAAACATGAGACCAGCATCCTATAACCAGCTCGGAAGTTGGTGGCGGAAGTTCTCATGCTTTATGCCTAGCATTGGAATTCTTGTTCATACATCCCGATGCCAGAGGCCATTTCCTCTTTTGGGGGAGGAGGTTTGGGGAGAAAGGCGGGTGGCAACAGTGTCTCACTGGTGACTCATGTTCCTGTGTCTGTGAGCATGAGGGCAATGGCAGAGTTCTCCAGAACAGTGTCCTCTGAACAGTGGGGTAAGTTGTAGGGTCTGGTTAGGGCTACTTGTTATGGCAAGGTGTTCACATGGCTTCTTAGCCTTAGTGAGGAAACAGGAAATGAGATAGGGACTGAGCAGGCAATCAGGGAAAAGAAAAAAAGGGGAAAAACAGAGTGGAGGCAGAGAAAGAAATGAGATCTATGGAAATAACTCTGGGATAAATTTGAAGCATATGGACTGGCATTTAAAAAGCCATTCTTGCGGTTATTCCCACCTTTGTGTTGATGGAGAGGAAATGGGTTGGTGTCCAACTCAAAACCTCTCCCTGTTCACTCATGGCCCACACTTGCCTGTGTGATGGATATTAATCACCTGCTGACTGTTCTGGCATCTGGGCAATGTTATCTCCTAGGCTTGGTGCAATAGCATGGGTGGAGCAGAAGAGGAGGAGGGAAAAGAGGAAGGTAGAGAGTCCCAGAGAAGGGACAGTGGGCTCTGGGGTGCATCCCCTTCAGGGAAATCAGTAGCCAGGTGAGTCAGCAGAAATCAGCCTACAGTCCAAGTTGATGGGGTGTTGAGGGAAGGTGGCCCTGGGCAGCTGGAGCAGGCTATGATGGTGGAGGAGCTCGCTGGGGTCACAGGTGCAAGGCAGTTCTATGGCTCCATTTTCTTTGGGCTGCACTTCATTGACCCAAGCAGCTAGGTGAACAGGGTTTCATGAAAATTAGAAAATATTCCCACATTTTTTTTTTTAACTTGTAACATGACTAACATCAGTTTCACTATTGTAAGTTCTTTGTAAGTTAATCACCTTTTCTAATAAGGGGATTTTTGTTTTCAGCCGTTATCAGTATTAATGTACTCTGTTACTGACAACTATAAATTAACTTTAAATATTTACCTTGGAAGCCAGTGAAGTCAGAGATTAAGACCGAAACTGAGATCACACATGCTCCTGGTTTCACCATCTGCAGAAATATCAAGTGAAATAATAGTAATGTTAATTTAATCTGGCGACCAGGTTACTTCTAACACCTTCCATTTTTCTCACCTTATCAGTGTGCCCAGCTCCCTGCTTGGTGCGGGAGATACTAACACTATTGCTACAGCCACGATGTCCCACCTCAGTCATGCTTGCTGTGCACCCAGCGCTGTCCTAAGTGCTGTGCGTGTACATCATTGAATCCTTCACCCTGCAAGCTGCCTCATGTTTTGTTATTTAGTTTTTATAAATGAGTAAATCAAGACACAGAAATGTGAAAGTAGCCCAAGGTGTCCCCCTCACTCACCCCCTTCTGGTATGGGGGTGCCTGTTCCCCAGCTGCTGCAGCTCTCGAGTGGCTTACCTTTGTGTGACTCTTTGCTTGGACATGTCTGGACAGAAACTCCAAGGCTCGCTCCACCCCAGCCCACCACACAGGCAGGGGCTGGCCAGTGACTAACAGACAAGGAGCCGGGAAGACTCAGCCTCCAGCCTCAAGGCCATTTGACTGATGGTGCAAGGTCCCTTCCACCCCCCCACCCCCCCACGGTGGACTAGGCCACAACTGGCCTTTCCTGTAGACCACATCCTGCCTCCCTCCGTCGTTGTCCTTGTCTCCCTTCTCTCACTTCTTGTTAGGTTTAGCCCTCCACCAGCACTGGCTTCATGAATGAAGGTTCGAAACGTGAGAAATCTCTAGGGAGTTTTGATTTAAAGAGACAAGACTTTAATTACCTTTAAACCAGCTTCAGGACGGCTCCTCTTAGCTCCAGCCTCCAGCCACCTATGATGGTAGCGAGGTTTACTGAAGAGGTCAGCTAGAGAGAGAACATGCCAGGGAGTGGACTTTTATTGGGGAACCAAAAATTCTGGGGAAAATCCCATCCAATGAAGATTAAGGGGGGCAGCATCCCAAGGTCAGGGGCGATGATTGGGTCTTCGGGGTAGTGGCCAGACACGCCTCCACACAGACAAGCCCTCGGACCTGAGAAGGGTGGGGAAAGCTCTGAACACAAGATGTGCCTAAGCGCCTCTCGCCCAGCCAGGGAGGTAACTCAAATCACGTGCGAGGATGGCCTCCCACAGTTAGGGGTTAAATTATTTATCCCTCAAATTCATATGTTGAAGCCCTAACCCCCAATGTCTCAAATCGAGACTGTAGTTGAAAAGGTAGTTAAGTTAAATCGAGGCTGTTAGGGTGGCGGAATCCAATCTGACTGCAGAAGAGGGGACCAGGACTCACAGAGAGCCCTCGGGGCACTGGTGCAGAAGGAAGGACCACATGAGAATTCAGCTGCAAAGTGCCATCTGCCTTCTGCTAGGAACTTGACCAAAGACAAAGGATCTGAGGCACAGGTGTTTGGACTGTATTCCAGATGTGGCAGCCTTTTGTGGATTATTTCATGACTTTGTTAATTAAAAGTTAATACCCAGGCTAAGGGCTTCTGAGGAAGGACAGTGTTCTGTTGCTGGCCCAGGCTTTAGAGTCGGGGAGGGGGTCCCCAAGATTCATTTGAAAATGAGTCTTTCTTTTTTCCAGTTACTGAGTCTTCTACATCGTATAGAAGTCTAAGTTAAAAGAAGTTCCAATGAATACATAAATTCATTTGTTTCTGATTAAAACCAGAAAGAAATTTAGACATGACAAAAATAATTTCGGTCAATTAACATAAACATCTTTTTTATCCTTGATCTTTTCTCCTACCCATGGCTGTGTATATAGCAGAGAAGCAGAGGGACCATGTAGGTTAGAAAACACACCAGACGAGGCATTGAGGACCCAGAGTCAAGTTCTGGTTGAACCAGTTGTGTGGTTTTAGACCCTTTGATAGACTTGGCTTCAGATTCTGTTTTAACAAACACTACCTCTGACAAAAAGAAAACAAGAAAAAGTGTTCCAAAGCTCTGCAAGCCCCGTGTCCATCTAAGGTTCTGATAGTGTCAACAAACCTGGGTCTCTCAAGGGTGTTGTTCCCGATTCTTGGATGGTTCAATCAGAAGTCTCCCTTCTTCCCAATTTGCAGTGGATCCCAGCCCACTCCTATGCACTGGTTTTCATTTGTGAACTTCAACTCCCTTTACCTGTCTGTCCTCAATTCCCCCAACTGACTCTGCGTGTCAAATAAACCTCTCCAAATAGACTTGGAGTCCGACTCGGCTGGAGTTATTGAAAACCCATTATGTCCTGTTTACTTATTCTGCAATCAGAGCTTGCACATTTCTGATACACTAATGGGAAAGTTTTGGCCAAAGAGAAGTCGATTGTTCTGGCTCTGTCCTGTCCCGTGATATCCAAGATTCATCTGTGGAACACATCTGAAATCTTTTGTCTTCTAATAGCTACCATGGTTAATCCTGAGAAAGGGTGGGGGGGGGATGCGTGCAAGCGTGTGTGTTGGGAAGGGTAGGTGTTGATTTTTTTAGCTTAGGACACTTAATTCTGTGTTTTTGAAGAACTCTCAAAATCTCAAAAGTACACCTTCTAGCTTGTAGTTTATTTTCTTAAGGCTTTGCTGACAGTGAACTGACCAAGAGACTATGAAATCCCTGAAATACTGCAGGAAAGAACAATTTTTCTGCATTTGCCTGGCAGAGTGAGTTCCTTAGGCAACTCTAAGATCCTAAGCAGCTTGAGACATGACTCGTGAAAATGTATGGAAAGGTGAGGTCAATGGAAAAGATGCACTGATGTCTTTCAAAGCACAATGAGTCTGGAGATAATAGTGTTTTTGAAAGAAGGGACCTTGTGCCAGAGATCAGTGACTTGTTAAAGGTAATCCCCTTGCCTCATTTATTTTTGTACTGCTGCAGTATTCAGCCATGCCTGGCACACAGTAGGTTGTGAATAAGTAATGGACTGAGTAGTGAAATGTGGCTCTAAGGCTCCAATTCGGGTTCATGATCTGGCCAACAGAGCAGATTAATCCTGCATCTTACAACTGGTGGTATGTCCTTTGTCTCCTCAACAAAGTTTATGAGCCCTAGAGGACACCATGCTGCATGTCTTATTTGTAAATAGCACCTAGACAGTTCCGGGCACATAATTACACATTGATAAATTGTTGTTGAGTGAATGAATGTATAAATGAATGAGTGCAGAGGATGTAAACTATCACCTGATTGTATAAATATTAATGGAGAAAGCAATATGTGCTCTCAATGGTTGGACCCCATGAAAGAACCAGATTCTGGGCTAGGAATGGAGCTCAGTGGTAGAGCACTTGCCTAGCATCTGCAAAGCCCTGGGTTTGATCCCTAGAAAACACACACACACACACACACACACAGAGAGACAGAGAGAGAGATGTGCACAAGCAAACCAGATCCTGTTTTTGAGGAATTTATAAACTTCTTGGGGAAAAGCAGCCCAATGCTGACATTCCATCTGTCCTTTGCTGTGTCCTCTAAAGGAGCTTGATCCCTTGACTCCACAGTCAATAGGATAAGAATTTGCTCTGTCTCCTAGAAATTTCACTGCTTCTTGAGTGTTGAAAATGGATTCACAGATATGATTTCGCATTTATGATGCTCTAGACAGGTCAAACTAATCCACAGTCAGAAATCAGAATGGTAGTTGCCTTCTTGGGTAGAATATATCAGAAAAGAGTCACTGGGGGACTTTCTAGGGGGATAAGCGTTCTTCAACTTGACTTGGGTGGTGATTAACACAGGTGTAGACCATCATTAAATCCTACTGACTCATAAAGATCAGTGTGTTTCATGACATGTAAATTATGCTTCCATTAATTGACTAGAGGACAATGCTTGCAATGAGCATGGTAAAGCCTATTTCTACCCAAACACACTCGCTCCCTTTCTTTCTGGATCTCCAGTGACCTGATCCCAATCCCAGTGGTCTCCCTTTATGCTGGTACCAACCAGAGGAAACACATGTTCTTAAACTAGTTTGAGTCACCAAAGTGGGCAGAAGAAATGTTACCTCTAAAAAAGATTTGTGAAATTGCACCTCGCTTGAAGTTCTGGACTGTAATCTCTCAGGAGTCGGAGGCCCAGATGAATCGAGGTGTGCTTCTGAAGGCCACGCGGCCCACCAATAGCAGAGCTGGACCTGAAACTCAGATCAGCTCCCCAGCCAGCTCCCAATCGCCAGCTACCTTCCTTTTCATCTGCATGTGGAGCATGAAGGAGTCCTTCCCTGGACGCACTTGGCCTCTGATCCTTGACCTATATCGTGTGTTACATGCGTGAGCAGCTATTCACTGTCTCCGTGACTCAGTGTCCACATCTGAAAAATGCTATGGTATTTACCTGTAATGAGACTACTGACGCCTGTCAACACTAGGTGATTAGTAACTGTCAGCCACTCTCCCTTCCGGCCCTCTTCATTGCTAATTCTCCTGTCAAGCCTCCTCCTTCCCATTCTTTTCATTACTAATTCTCTGTACTTCCTCCCTATACTCAGGCCCTTGGCATGTTAATTCACAAGGCTACACTACAATGAATTAGTTCTTTAAATAAATATTGCTCTTTGTGAGAATTAATAACCCTGTTTAAGTAGGGTTTTTAAAATTCCTAAACCTCTTTCTCTGTACCCAGAAGACTCTTTATCCAATAAGGAAATAAATCTCATCAAAAGGACAAACTACAGTGTAGTGCAAAGAAACCAGATACTATTTTTTCCTGAAATAATTGGAAAGGTAAAAATACTTCAATGTCTTATAGATTTTCCATCATTTTTAGCAAATCCTTTTCATTCACTGCGCCTACTTTAAAATCCCTCAAAATAAAATGGGGGGCTGGGGATGTGGCTCAAGAGGTAGCGCGCTCGCCTGGCATGCGTGTGGCCCAGGTTCGATCCTCAGCACCACTTACAAACAAAGATGTTGTGTCCGCCGAAAACTAAAAAAATAAATAAATATTAAAAAAATAAATAAAATGGGTGTTTCTCTTGAAAAGTTGAGAATGCTTTGAAGAAAGGATTGTTAGTTTATCGGCATACCTTTTAGGAAAATTTTGAGGTCCTACCATCAAAACTGTCATCTGGTCCCTCTGATGACCTTGAGGGCATTCCATTATTTCCATTATTGAGCATGTTATTTAAATGGGTCAAATGTAGGGACCCCTGCTGCCTGGACCAGGGGTGCATTTATTTTGGTGACTTGCCCCACCAGAAGCCCCTTCTTTTTTTGCTATGTTCATGCTTCTGTCCTCACTGATTGTAGCTCAGACAACAGTTCCTGAGAGGGTTGACCAGGCAACTATAAGTATTCATGATCAAAAAAGAAAAAGAAAGAAAATAAAAGTTTGAAAACAAACCCGAATAGAAGGTTGCATAGACTTCTCAGGAAAAGCAAGCAGAAGAAGAGCGCGATCAACAGGTCTCCTGTCCTTGCCACCCACCATACAAGGTCTGGGCCTTGCCGTGAAGCTCTCAGTCATAATGCAAAGCCTGGGAGTACTATGCCTGAAGTGTGACGTCTCCAGCATCCTCACAGTGCTCCTGGCAGCCACAGATCAGGCCCACAGGGATCTAATTTCAAGCATAAAGCATTCCTGCAGCCGCTCCAATGGCTGCCGCCTCCTATTTCACTGTAGAGCCAATAGTCTCTGAGAAAGCTCATACTGCACACAGGAATACACAAAATAAACACACGCATCCAATCCCCACTGAAGTCAGGCCAAGCTGAGAAACAAACTCCGACCTTTCTCGCTTTGACAGGACTGAACTTGACTGAGACACTTGACCGTTTCCTTGGAAATATCAAACATCGAAACTCCATTCTTTCTGGGCTCATCTTTCAAATGGTGTGCCTCCAGGAAGGACCTCTGGACTTCTGCTCATCATACGGTTCTGCTT